ATTTAAATTCTGTAAACAATATAAATAAATAAATGAAGATGCTGTGATAAATTCCCTGCTCTGATTCTGCATGGGACAATACTGTAGCAAGAGACAAATCTCTTTAAAACTATATGGTTACGTTAAGAATAGAATAGAATAGAATAGAATAGAATAGAATAGAATAGAATAGAATAGAATAGAATAGAATAGAATAGAACAGAACAGAACAGAACAGAACAGAACAGAACAGAATAGAATAGAATAGAATAGAATAGAATAGAATAGAATAGAATAGAATAAACAGAGTTGGAAGGGACCTTGGAAGTCTTCTAGTCCAACCCGTGCTTAGGCAGGAAACCCTACACCACTTCATACAAATGGTTATCCAACATCTTCTTTAAAATTTCCAGTGTTGGAGCATTCACACTTCTGGAGGCAAGTTGTTCCACTGATTAATTGCTCTAACTGTCTCTAACTAACTAAATTTCTCCTTAGTTCTAAGTTGCTTCTCTCCTTGATTAGTTTCCACCCATTGCTTCTTGTTCAACCCTCAAGTGCTTTGGAGAATAGTTTGATTTCCTCTTCTTTGTGGCAACCCCTGAGATATTGAAACACTGCCCTAGTCCTTCTTTTCATTAAACTAGACATACCCTGTTCCTGCAACTCAGCGGTGGCTTCTAATTTTTTTTTACTACCGGTTCTGTGGGCGTGGCTTATTTTGTGGGTGTGGCTTGGAGGTCATGTGACTAGGTGGGCGTGGCTAGCTGGTCAGAGTCATTTCTGGAAGGTCCTCGCACTTATGACCAGTCCTCGCACTTACGACTCGACTCATTTGTTTGCTTTTAACACTGATCAGCTGTAGGACGGCCCTTTGAAGCCCCGCGGCAAGAGTTTAAACAGTTTTTTTCCCTCTAGTCATCAGCTGGGACTCAGGAGGCAGCAATAGATTGGGGGTGGAACCAAATAAAAGGTAAGAATAACGTGGGAGGGCGGGGGGGGAGAACCGGTTCGGTGACATCGTATCGTCACCGCTACCGGCTCGGCCGGACCAATCGAACCGGGAGGAATTCACCACTGCTGCAACTGTTCTTTATATGTTTTAGTTTCCAGTCCCCTAATCATCTTTGTTGCTCTTCTCTGCACTCTTTCTAGAGTCTCAACATCTTTTTTTAGATTGTGGTGACCAAATATTCCAAGTGAGGCATTATAAAGTGGTATTAACACTTCACATGATCTTGAGAAAAACATGTCAATCTCCCTAGATTTTTAGAGGGACAAAATATAAAAGTCTTCAGATAATTTTGGTAGGAGGTGGCCTGAGAGATAGACTGATTTTTCTGGATGATTTCATTGATCGATATAAATGGGTACATTTATTGAAATCGTTCCAATATACAGTGGGACAGAATTTAAAATGGATTATGCAGATAGAACAATCCTAACCAGATCTTTTGTGCTGTCTGAATCCCTTGCTCTTTCCCTCAACTCTCCCTCTTCTTAGAAAGGAAAAGAAAGATTTTATTACTGTAATCTTATAATAAAAGCAGTACCAGCATTCATAACTTTAGTTTCCAGGCCTGGATTACCTTGAAGGGCTGACATCAATCTTACAAATCTGAATGTGTCTCACTGACTTTTTATAGGCAAGAGAACCAAGTGCCAAACCAAAGATATTTTTAAAATTGCATTACTGCTTTGGATTCAGATTTCTGTTATCTGATCATTGCCTTAATTACAGCTCTTTCTGTTCCTCAAGATTTGTCCCCCAGTCCTTTACAGAAAGAGTTTGAGAAATGACTCAGAATTAATTTATGTGGCTGAGTTGGGATAGTTCTACTACTAAGCCAAGTCACTTGCATGAAGGTAGAATTTGTTACACAGTTAAGAGGACCACTGGTCTTGTTAGTTCATCATGAACATCACTGAAAAGTTATGTTAACTACCGTTCTAACCCAATAGAAAAAGGATTTTCCCCCCAAATAAGTGAGTTGTTTGGCATGGGGGGTGGGGGTGGGGAGGTGAAATGTTAGTCTCACATTTTGTGATAAGAACTGGATAAGAACTCTAGAAGAGATGAACAGCCCACAAATTAAACAAACAAACAAACAAAATAAAGCTCTCAAACACAAAGGAGTGGGCAGGTGATGCCAATACTTGCTAAAACGTTAAAAAGCATAGATAACTTTTAAGAACAATGCATCTGTTAAAGATTGCTTACCTGGTGAATTTAACCCTGTGTAATGTCTAAACCAGCAGTGTCAAACTCATGTCGTCACCAGTGGTGGATTGGGCGAACCCGTAGCAGCAGCGGTGGGAGGCTCCGCCCACCTGCCCGGACCTCTCTGCACATGCGCAGAAGCATCGCATGCACGTCCACGAACAAACCGGTAGCGATGGGATTTGAAACCCACTACTGGTCGTCACGTTATCATGTGACATATCACGACTTTTTCCCTTCGTTAAATGGGAATAGGTGGGGCCAACACATGACGCATCTGGCCCACGGGCTGCGAGTTTGACATCCCTGTTCTAAACAGTGCTTCTGTCATGATTTCAATGAATTCAAAGAATACAATTTTATAGAATTATGAATCACCTTGACTCAGCAAACATAAGAGCATAAATGAACTTCCTGACTTCTTTTCACATACCTTCTCTGTAACTAGGTTGTTTGTCTGCTTGTTTTCCCCAGATGCTGCTGATAATAAATGTTTGTGATTTTAGGACATGCTTCAGGGTTTCTTTTGTATTTTGAGCAAGTAGCAAAAATTGCAGCTTCTCTTTCTTGCCTTCTCCTTACTTTCCATTCCTTCTCTTTGTCTCATTTCATCTCTATCCAGTTGTATCTTCTTTCTTCTCAGTGCAGCTATCTCTTGTCCTCACTCCAATTCCAATGTTATGACTGGTTGCACAATCACTTAGATATTCAGACTGGATTTGGCATTTTTATTTACTCATTGAGTCAGAACGCAGAATGGCCTATTTGGATCCAGTTTTAGGCATTGTATTTGAAAAAGGACATGAATAAACAGAAGTGTGTCCCAAAAAAAAGTTTTGAGTTTTGAGGGGCCTGAATGAAAAGCCTAGGTGGAATGATTACAGGCATGGTATGCTTTACCTAGAGAAAACAGACTATGGGGACACATGATCCCTTTCTTCAAGTATCTGCAGGGGCATCTCGTAGCAGATGGGGCAGCATCTTTCAGAGTTTTTCCAGAAAGGACATGAAAAATTGGTTTAAACTACAAGAAAATAGAGATCAATTGACATTATGGGTAAAAAATCCTAACGGTAAGAGAAACAGATTGCTGTAGAGTAGTAAAGTCCTTCTCTTGATATGTTTAAAGAGCGGCTGGAATTATCACGTAGCTTTAGAGACAGTAAAACATAAGTGCATTTATAACCATGGTCAACAAGATTGAAGCCTTTTCTTTTTCTATTTTTCTTATTTTATATTCGTCCTTGTTTTCCTTAGTTTTTTTTTTATATTTATATTGTTTTATTTAGTTAAAATTTCTTCAATAAAAATTATATTTTAAAAAATAGAGAGGCTGAAGAGCCATTTGTCAGAAAGACTGTAGTAATAGATTCCTGACTGGGTTGAGGGTTGGCCCCATGATCTCCCTCTAATTTTAATTTTATGATAATCTTGTTGGGTATTGAATTAGTCTAATTTCATATATATCATATTAATCTCTTTGCCCTGGGTTTATCCACCCAAAGTTTAAGAGCGGCGCTCCTTCTCAAAACAGTGATGATTTCCTCTTGTGTTCAGCTTTCTTCCCAACTGGGGACACTGTACCCACTGGTGACATTTTTAGGTCTAATTACCTGTATTATTGTAATGCTTGAATCGGTAAAGTCTTGTCTCTTGTGCTAAGAATCCACAATCTGTTGCAGATGAATTTGTGAATTTTACAAATTGTTCAGGCCTGACATAAGGTTCTTTACAATAATTAGATAAATATCAATGTGGAACAATACTTACTTCCAAATAAGGATGTGAAATTTGCATTCCCCTGAAACCAAAATTAGTATTCATGTAGACATGATTCAATAGGGAGTACTTATGTAACTATCTGGTTGAGCTATATAATTCTTTAATAGTTTCAAGTAGAAATGTTGGAGATGACAACAATATGCTATACAGTAGTTATTATTTTTCTCCTTTTATTCTTTTTTTCTTTTTAGGCTAAAGAAAGTTAATAAATTGAAGTCAGTTTTCATTCCAAATTTTGACCATAACTGTAACAATAGACCTTTGCTGAACACAATCTTTTTTTCTTTCTTAGCTGAAGTGAAAATAGGAACTCTGAAAAGAGGAAATGTGTATTCTTGATGAAGCAATTATAGATATCACAATTCCCTAAAATGTTTTTTGGACTGTCACATTCTGAATCTTTCGTTTTCTTTTTGCGCAGTAAGACCTTCCCTGATAGAGATTTTTAAAAAGTAAATAATGTTGTAATGGTCAGTTTAATGTGGGTAATATAGTACATTTGTTGGTTTAATTGAATGGGTCACTAAAAACATTGAAACTTTTGTGACCTCCACATTTTGTCATTAGAGTGTTCCTCTCTTGCTTATAAATTAAATATAAGAGAATGGCAACTCTAAATCAGCTTTCAGTCTGGTTCTCCTACTCCAGAAGGAGTGGGTTGCCATATTGTCAGTTAAGAAGCCCAATGTTCCAGTGCAGGCCTGGACGACATCAGTAAATTGCTATTTGATGTACTATGAATAATTACAATGGCCTATGAAAAGATCCAGGCAATTTTTAGCCCATTGTCGTGACATTTTTAATAGCTGCATGCACCTACGAAAAAACATACACACCGTACATACATATACATGGAATATACATATACATATACCACCCTATGGGTCCTCCTCAGTCTTGGGTCATTTATATATACATCTCCATTTCCCACAAAAACCAAACAAAAGAATTCAACCCTAACTTTAATCAACTTCCCTTTTTTTCTAAACAGGAACTTACTGATGTAAGATTGATTCTGAGAACAAGAATCCGTATTCTCTACAGTTGTGCTGTTACAATTTCCCTCAAACAACATTTTCCTTGAGGCCAGATAAGATAATAAGGTAAGTAAAACTCTTCATCCAGAAGATAATTAGATGACAACACATAAGTAGATATTAGAGTAGATTTGGTGTAAGTTTACACCAAAACCTATTGCTTAACTGTAAGCCTAATGGTTGGACTGTCTTCATGGTTTATCTACTACACCTTCTTGCCCTTTCACTAGCATGACAATGGACAGCTAGCTATGTACCTCAACCAACTATATTTCTCATTCCCTTATCATCTAAAGTAACCTGGGATTTCTAGACCTCCCAAATTCCTCTCATTATAATATACACATTCTTCTATCTTTCTGTCAGTCTTAAATGGCCCTGATATTCTTTTCTCCATCAGTTGAAAAACTGTTCTCCCTTTAACAGACAGACTCCCCTAACTTTCCTCTTTACTTCAAAGGCTATCCTATTATAAATGACTGCATGACTCCATGATTGCATATATGTGACTGGATCTATACTTTATTATTTATATATACTTTATTCAAAAGAAACCATAACAGTAAATTATGTGTATCATTTGACTGTTGCCTTAGTATAGTTATTTTTAAATATTAGATGGTAAATAGAACATTTTTCCACTTTTTAGACATATTATAATTATTATTTGCTTTATTCGTCAGAATTAAGAAATGGAATAACACTAAAGAGTTCCTGAATTTTCTGCAATTGTGTTATTTAAGAATATGTTTATACTGTATATAAATTGCAAAATATTTTTGGTAATGTAAGAGGGTTTAAAGTATGTATTCTATTAAGATACCCTTTGCTGTCACTGTTAATGTAAAATCCCATGCATTTTTGCTTGGAAGTAAACTCAGAACAAACTATGGTTTAATTTTGCAATCCTATAGTCATATACTTGTGAATAGCTCATAGGGAATGTAGAGACTTATTCAGTCCTTGACTGATTCAAATATGTACTGGATATGATTGTAAGACACCATGCCTATTAGAAGAATTATGCAGCTAAGGATGCCCTCTATTTTCTTATAGAAACAGGAGGTAGGGATATAAAAAAGTTCCAAACAGAATTTCTGTAATTTGGGGTTTCAGTCTCAGAACGTAAATCAGGCTAGCATTTATCTGACTATCCTGCATAGATCTGGGAATTGTACTTTTAGAAATATAGAAGGTAACTAAATGACAACTATCTGAAGGATCCTCAGCTTTATTTAGCTTCTAATAAATCTTATTTTAAAAAGACAGCAGATTTTAAAACTAGATGATCCAGAAAGTATAAAAAAACAACTGAAAGTAAAAAGAAAAATTAAATAGGATAACAGACTTTTAACCAAACTGGAAGCTTTGTAAGTAAACACAAAATATTGCGGGTCAGCTTCTATTGCTGAATTCAATCTCTTGATAACCTTTTCCAATTCCTTCTTTCTCCCCATTTTATTTTTTTTAAAGGCATGCAACATTAAAAGTCCAGAAATTAAAAAAAAGCATTTCTTCAAGTCAGCTATTAACAAAGCTTTATCTTGTTCTTTTTTGAGAAAACAAATCATTTGGAAGTAGTTACATCACATTTTGTCACATTATAAAATAGTGGGGTCATATAATTTTTGAGCTGCTGGTATAATTAAAACTATGTTTCATTATCTAATGCCTTGAAAAGTATTATGATCTGTTGTCCACCATAGAAATCTCCATTTGGACTGATTAAAACATTGTATGTTTTAGGCAATATTTAACAAAGTAATTAAACAATGCATAGACTTTGAAACTTTTTACAAATAAACAGCTAATTTCTTCCATTCTAAAATTCTTTCCTGCATCTACAGAAACTAAAATGGTAACCATTCTGGGATTTAGTCACATGAGCTGGCTCATTGTGTTCTGTGCTACATTACATGTCGCTTTTCCAAAGGAGAAAGGTAAATATGTTCCTTCAAAATGATTTTCAAGTTATTTTACATTGCAATTTTATTCTAAAAAAGAGGGGACAGAACTGCTAACCATTTTTCTTTTTTAAAAAAAAAATATTATTGTTTTATCATAAAAAGTAAAATATAAAACAGAAAAATGAACAAAACAAAATAAAAGCAAACATTCAACACTACCAACAACAAAAAAGAAAAAAATAGTGTACAAAAAAATTGGAAAATTTGATCAAATAAATTTAACATTTCACATGTAGGATCCACCTGGGTGAAAAAGCTGTAGATTTTCTTCCCCTTATATATGTACAAATTTTAGTTAGTAGAACAGATCTGGCCCTAAAGTTAAGATGGCATCCGTGAAAAAGTTGTATTGTCCCAGTTTCTTTTAAATAGCTATTTCTCAAGGTTTGAAGTTGTCTGCCAATATTAGATGGATCAATTCACTAGAACTCTGATGTAGTTTTAGAACAGAACAGAATAGAATATTTTATTGGCCAAGTGTGATTGGACATACGAAGAATTTGTCTCTGGTGCATAAGCTCTCAGTGTACATACAAACAACAAAGTAATATAATCATAAAATACCCATAGGATAAGGTAATAGAAAAGATGAGAAGGATAATACGGTAGTAATACTGCCATACTGTCTAAGTAAATATCTTTTGACATAAGATAGTACTGTGATCATTAGGTGTTCAGCAGAGTGGTGGCATGAGAGGAAGAAACTGTTTTTGTATTCAATTGTTATGAGATACAATTCTCCTGAGGGGAGAAGTTGAAACAGTTTATGTCCAGGATGTGAGGGGTCTATAGATATTTTCTCAGCCCTCTTTCTGACCTGTGCAGTATACAAGTTCTCAATGGAAGGCAGCCTGGTTGAAATTGTTTTTTCTGCAGTCCTAACTATCTATTGAAGTCTGTAGCTGTCCTCTTTGGTTGCTGTATTAAACCAGACAGTTATAGAAATACAAATGACAGACTCAATAATTGTAGAATTGTAGAACTGTATCAACGGTTCCTGGGGCAGTCAGTAGGTAAAGCTTTTAGCCAGTGGGTAAAGATTCAGAGACTGGGTTCAACTTTACCGACTCCTGCTTCCAGTGAAACCGCTGTGATTTAAGTTTCTTCCTAAACAATTGGTTTGAATTCTTTCTAAGTTTATCATTCTGTTATATAGCCTTAGTTGGGCTCTGTATAACAGTTGTGTTTGGGCTTTAACAGCAAACAACTTAATTGCAGATAAATAGAGCTCCTCTAGGGGAAAAAAGTTTGAATAGTTGTTGCAAGTCTCTGTGCATTGTAGGATACCTAATCCAGGTGGGCATATCTACTTCCTGAAGCTTGAAAACTATCCGTAGATATTTAAAGATCTTAACCTGCTCAAGGGAGTACCCACCTAAACTGCATCCCGTCTTTTGGGAACTATCTTTGCATGCATTTGCTATCTCTTGCAATATCCTTAATTCCAGGATTTCTTCACATAAACTAGACCCCATGCATTGTTGTTTATTGTTTAAATATATATTACTCAATTGTTGGCTTATTGACATGGCATAATTTCTGCCATGACTTAGTCATTGCCCAGAAGATGGATAAAGTCTTGACAAAAGTTGCCTAGGAATAGAATGTGTTTGATATCAAGTTGATTTTCTTGTTCTAATTACTCCCATTCTTTCTTTAAAAAATCATCAAAATGCAGATATTCTATTACCCTGAGTCATATGATCAGATAGCATAAAATATTTGTAAGAAATCATAATATTGCATAGTTTTGAAATTTCAGCTTCAATCAATCAAGAAATAAAATAAAATAATGACAGATTTTTTATGGAGTTCACTGAAAGCTTATATTGATCCTTATATAAATAACGCATTGCCTTGAATATTTAACTTCTCAATTTTTACCTATTTCTAGGTATGAATGGAACATCTGTTGAAAACTTTGACTGTGTTGTTCGCTCATACACATTTAAGAATCCTACTATGAATTGTACTTGGAATGCTGGCAAAAATGTTCCTCCAGACACCCAGTATTTTATGTACTTAGCATATCACAAGTAATGCATTTTCATTTAATAAACTAAAAAAAAATCTTTTTGAAAATATATTGTGTTTGATTGGCTTTTAAATAAAATTATTTTGGTATAAGCAGGGCTAGAGATAATGAGTGTCCACATTACATAAGTAACACGCTTGGAAGACACATTGGTTGCTACTTCCCTGATGTGATAGCAAGTCCATATCGCGTGAATATTACAGTAAATGGATCAAGCATAGAATCTCCGATTCAGTCGTATGTTGATGATTTCCGAATTTATGACAAAGGTGAGAAAAAAGGGAGAATCTGTTTACAATTAATAATAATAGAAGCATGTTACTTTCCTTTTGTAAAGGTCTAACATTTCATTTTTAAAAAATAGTCTTGCATCTTTTTATGAAGAAAACATATGTGGTAATTCATCTTTTGATTTACAATAAGTGAGAAGAACAAAATTGAACTAGAGCAGGGGTGTCAAACTGGCAGCCCATGGACTGGATGCATCACGTGTAGGCCATGCCCACCCCAGTTCCATGAAGGGAAAAAAACATCGTGATATGTCAAGTGACGGTAACTTGAGGCCGCGAGTATGACACCCATGATCTAGAGGCTGAAAGAACTAAAAAAAAAAAAAAAAAAGAAAACCAAATATATCTACCAAATTTGAGCTAAAGAAATTGTACTCATTTTGTTGATCTCTTTTCTTCAAGTATTTCATTGCTTATATTTGTCCATATGTATATGATTTCCTAGGTCTTCAACTGTTACTTATAATGTTGGTTATTTCATTCCAGAACAGTTTCGACCTCCCCAAAATATTACTGTGGATTATAGATCACCATTATATTATAAAGTCCAGTGGGAACCTCCTCCAAACTCTCGTAAAGTTGGAAGTGAATGCTTTGAGTTCCAAATAAAGGTAAGAACCAACAAGTCAAACATTTGCTTTCCAACCTAATGTAAATTTTTGGACTTGAAAATGATATCTATAGGAAAATAAATATTTCAAATTTTGAAAAGATTGCCAGGTTGTCATTGATTTAAAAAATATAGGAGTGCTATTTCATGGTTTCATACATACCTGTACAGGAATAAGACAGGGTAAAAATCCCAGAAATACTTGGATGAAGGGACTCTTATTGTCCCAAATAACCTAGGCCAGTGGTTCTCAACCTGTGGTCGGCGGATCCTTGGGGGTCCCTGATGTTGTCACAGGGAGTCCAGGAAGGCTTGAAGAAATGTTATATTTAAATCTTTAGTTAAGTCTTGGGGGAGTCTATGGTCATAGTTCTTGGCCACAAAAGGTATTTAAAGAGGGTCCATGGTGAAGAAAAGGTTGAGAACCACAGCCCTAGGCAATAGGTGGGCTTTTCTACCCACCAGGCACTCTCAGCTATACAATAGACTAAATCTATTGCCAAGGTAAATTGGGAATATTAATCACTCTCTTGTACTAATTATTACAAGGAGGCTTGTACTAGAACTACATTGATTGCCAGCTAGGCTATGCAAAGCAACTGGAAGCAATGCTTCACAATGTGTGGTTCTGACGGAAATGTTTTGTGTGTTGAAGAGTTTTCTATGGATGCATAGAAACTCTGTCAGAGTGTATCTCTTTTATTTGGGTTGATTCATTGATTTTGCTTGTCAGAAGGTTGCAAAAGGTTATTACATGAGCCTGGAACACTTCAACCACCATATGAGTTGGTTGCATTTTGATCATGTGACCATGGGGATACTGTAATGGTCATAAATGTTAAAAGTAGTCAGAAGTCACTTTTTTCAGTGGTGCTGCAATTTTGAATGACCACTAAATGAACTGTTGTAAGTCAAAGATTATCTGTACATTATTTGTAAGAAATGAGGACATACCGTATTTTTCGGACTATAAGATGTACTTTTTTGTCTCCCAAAAGGGGGTGAAAATGTCTATGCATCTTAAAGACCGAATATTGCCGAAGCCCTGCCCACCCCCAGCCGTTTCTTTGCCTCTGCACACCCCATTTTGGGGCCTTTTTTCGGCCCATTCTTGAGGCTTTTTTTGGCCCATTTTTTCGGAAAATGGGCCCAAAAAAACCCTTGAAAATGGGCTGGAAAAGGGCTGGAAAAGGGTCGGGAAAAGGGCCAAAAATGGGGCACGTGGAGGCCAAAAACTTTTTTTGTTGTTGCTTTCCTCTTCTAAGTTTAGGTACATCTTATAGTCTGAAAAATACGGTAATTTATTCAGCAAGCATAGCACCAGATGGGCTGCAGGAAGAGATGATAATTGGTTCAGAAATTAAATGTAGGAATGTCTCCAAAGAAATGTTGCCTGTAATATAACATAAATAAAAGAGTGTAAAGGGAAAGTAAATAAATACTCTTCCTTCCCAACACGTTCTTCTCACCACACTGTTTGACCATTATTATAATTATTATAAACAACTGACTGTGGGAAATGTATTCCAGTTTAGAAAAGGACAAAATTATCAATACTAGTAACTATATTATTTTTCCCCTTTATTTTCAAGGATGAACGCAGGAATACAGCCATGACTGTAAGTGTCGTCATCTAATAAATTGCCATTTGTTTCATCAGCTCATTCTGTCTAGATTTGCTATTCAGATTTGATCCAATATGGAAAATACTGTTGAAAATTTTCCTGGAACTCTAAATATGAAGAGATACAGAAACAAAATTGCGAGTTGGGCAGAATTTCATTTTTCATCAGAAAGATTTTTTTATAAATAAAAAGACTAACACTAATATAAAAGATCACACCACAAGAAATTCCATTGGAAACTGCTGCTAAGGAAGGGAGAAGTGGACATACAGGTCTTAAAATTAGGTGGTCAGGATGATATATAGTTCAAGATCAGTTATTTTCTTCATATAGAAAAGCAGGTATTATGCTCTTCATACAGAACAAGCCAAGTTTAATCCAAGAAAATCATATACAGTATAAAAAGTAACCATCAAGCCCCTTAGGTGTCAGACTTCTAAATTTTGGAAATAATCTAGAGTCTTCTACCCTCAGTTTTTTTTTTTAAAAAAAAAATTGTTCTCCACAGGCACAGCAGTAAAATGCCTTGTTTGTATGGCATTTTTGGGAATATACTGTATGAATCTGTGCTGTTAAATTAGGAAAAATTGCAGTTTAAACTTGGAAGATGGAAGATATTCTAAATCTACACTTTAATTATTGGTTTATTGATTGTTTTTAGAGATGAATACTGAATTTACTTTTTGTCCAATCTATTGGGAACAAAACAGAAAACCCTTGCATTTGGTCCCAGTGGGGATTGCGACAATTTTTAACAAATTCTCCAGAAAGCACTCATCTTAGATCATAGCACTTATCAGAGTTCAGAACAACTCTGATAAATCAAAGTAATAATGCTATTCCCTCATCTTTTCTTGCATAAAGGGCAAAAATAGGGCAGTTATTAATTTTTTTATTGTAATATCAACTTTTTAACCTCATATTCAATAGCAGAAGTAAAAGAACAGCTTGTTTTCTTTGCGTAATTCAATTTAAAAAAAAACATTTCATAGTCACAAGGGAATGGAAGCAAGGTTTGAAATTAAAAAAAAAGTTTTTACAATATTTCTTTCCATTAATAAGCAAAATAATAACTATAATGTGATTGTCCCAGACGTGCTTTTCAAGAGGCAACTGGCCTTTCTGGTTTTTCTTTGAAGACATTTTGCTTCTCACAAAGGTACTAGAATACCATTCTGGTTAGCATCAAATTCCTATAGAGCAAATCTGTAGAGTAAATTAAAAGTATCTGAAAAAAAATGAAGAGCTGAAGAAGCTTCTTGGATGAGAAACGAAACATCTTCAGTGAAAAACCAGAAAGACCAGTTGCCTCTTGAAAAGTATATTTGGGATAACTATGACCTGGATGACTGAGAATCTCCACAGACATTTAGCGATATAATGTGATTGATTCAAGATAAATTGTATTTTTATACTGAGCATTGTTATTTCATCAAGCAAAAATTTAAGTACCAGTAGATAAATATTTTGCTTCCAGGTACAAGAAAAAACATACAATTTCCCAAAGCCTGCAAAATATATCTTGAGAATTCGCGCAGTTGGACACATTACGTGTCCAATTTCAAAAAAAATGAATGGAGAATGGAGTGAACCTATTGAGTTTGGTAATTTATTTTTTCTTTAATTATTTTTCCTTCTTGATGCTAACATTCTAATAATCAGCTGATGGTTAATAGCGTCCTAATATCAAAATGATCACTGAAAAATAAGATAATATTTATATATTTAGGTAATTTCCCAAGATACTTTGGTAGCAAGTTTTAAAAAAATTATGGGACTTAACTCAAAGTTTTTAGAGACTCAAGACTGTGAGTTCTGCTTTGAACACAAACAATCTTAGAGATAATAAATCTAAATTCTCTAAACATAACCCCCCTTTCTGCTACTATATTGAAGATTTGTAATAAATAAGTTATTACAGTTTAAATTTGTTTATGTGAATAAAATTCCAATTTAAAGTTAAAAAAAAAAATAGAACATGATAACAACCTATTCGACTACCATGGGTCATTTGGTAGCAATCATTGTTTTTACTAAGATGTTAAAATGCACAAATTATTAATGGAATGTGAACATTAATACTTGATTTGAGAGACTCAAAAAACTATATGATAACTAAAATGTATAATAGTTTATTAAATTTAGATCCAGATCATTATATTTTAACTGGGTCACAGAATGTGATTGTAAGAGAAAAGAAGGCACAGCTGGAAGGCAGACTAAAACACATAATCAGTTTGTGGTCCCTGTGTTGCCACAAGAGAAGCAAGTCCATTCCCCCATGACTTCTGTTGACCCTTATCTAGTGTCAATTTAGCACTGAACATTAGTTGTCAATGACTATCGCTTTGAACCTAACAAACCCTCCTGGTTATTTGCTCCTGATACTGATATTTGAATAGAACTGGCAGCAAATAAATCCATACTGGCATAAACCATTGGGAGAGCTTAATTTGAAATTAATTCATAACAGATATTTCATAGATGCTCATTCATAGTAAAACTGGCACACCTGTGAAATAATTTTCACCAAAATATTGGAGCAAGAATAGGTGAATGGTACCTATAGAATCTGCCCTGGCAAGATAATTGTAAAGCAATATATTTTTAAGAGCCAGTGACATCACAAAACCAAAGATTGTCATAAATGCACAATTAGCATGGTTAAGTTTATTTCTTGAATGTACCACTGTAACATGTTGGAACTATTCTTACACTCTTATTATCAGCATGTATAGAGACCCAACAAGGGACGCGGTAGCTCAGTGGCTAAGACACTGAGCTTGTCAATCGAAAGGTCGGCAGTTCAGCGGTTCGAATCTCTAGTGCCGCATAACTGGGTGAGCTCCCGTTACTTGTCCCAGCTTCTGCCACCTAGCAGTTCAAAAGCACATAAAAATGCAAATAGAAAAATAGGGACCACCTTTGCTGGGAAGGTAACAGCATTCCATGCGCCTTTGGCGTTTAGTCATGTTGGCCACATGACCACAGAGACGTCTTTGGACAGTGCTGGCTCTTTGGCTTTGAAACTGAGATAAGCACTGCCCCCTAGAGTCAGGAATGACTAGCACATATGTTTGAGGGGAACCTTTACCTTTACCTTATAGAGACCCAAATTGGTAAACTGGTTAAGGCACCAGGCTAGGAACCAAAAAATTGTAACAGCAAATGACTTCCAAAATCTTGTCAAGGAACCTGCAGGGATGTGTTCAGGTAGTTCCCTGGAGTTAAGATTGACTCAAAGGCACCAAATATATATAGATATATTATATAGTTAAAATAGTGATTGGCAGATTCTGATAAAGATTTAGAAGTGTTATCATTTGAAACATGGTGTAATAAAATCTGGACACCTAACTTGAAAAATTTAAAATTAACTTTAAAAATGAAATGAGATATGTCTATAGACATAAATCCAGGGGTGAAATCCAGTAGGTTCTGACAGGTTCTGGAAGCGGAAATTTTGAGTAGTTTGGAGAACCAGTAGAGAAATTTTGAGTTGTTTGGAGAACCGGCAAATACCTCTTCTGGCTGGTCCCAGAGTGGGGTGGGAATGGGGATTTTTCAGTATCCTTCAGTGGTGGGTTCCTCCCGGTTCCGCCGAGCTGGTAGCGGTGACGATATGATAAAAATAATAAATGGGTAGACCAGTGCCTACAAAAACAAATGGGTAGACCGGTGCCTGCAAAAATAAATGGGTAGACCAGTGCCTGAAAAAACAAATGAGTAGACCAGTGCCAGCAAAAACAAATGAGTAGACTGGTACAGCTCTGCAAGCAGTTAAAAGCCTGATAGACCAGTACCTCTGCTAAATCCTAAAGAATTGTCACATGACCATCAAGCCATGCCCACAAAATAAGCCACACCCACAGAACTGGTATTAAAAAAATTTAGAACCCACCCCTGGTATCCTTTCCCTGGAGTGGGGTGGGAATGGGGATTTGCAGTATCCTTCCCCTGCCATGCCAACTAAGCCACACCCACCCAGCCACACCACGCCCACCAAGCCACGGGCACAGAACCGGTAGTAAAAAAAAAATTGAATTTCACCACTGCATAAATCTAATTACCAATGTAACATGGGTTTGGATACCTTTATAGATTACAAGAATATACATATATATCAGGGGTGAAACACTCCCGGTTTGGACCGGATCGCCCAATCCAGTAGCGATGGAGGTGGGTGGTTCGGAGAACCAGTAGCAAAAATCCCTGTGCACCTCCCCCCTGCATTGCCCAGCTGAGCTGCGCAATCATCAGAGGCTTTTTATTTTTAAAAGCATTTTTTCTATAACCTCTTTGGCCGAAAAAATGCTTTTTCAAGTAAAAAAAAAAAAAAAGCCTCTGATGATCGTGTGGCTCAGCTGAGATCGTCAGAGGCTTTTAAAAGCATTTCTTCTACAACCTCTTCGGCTGAAGAGGTTATAGAAAAAATGTTTTTAAAAGGAAAAAAAAGCCTCTGCCGATCAGGCAAGTCAGCTGGGATAATCAGAGGCTTTAAAAAAAAAAGCTTCTGCCGATCAGACAACTCAGCTGGGATCATCAGAGGCTTTTAAAAGCATTTTTTTACAACCTCTTCAGCTGAAGAAGTTGTAGAAAAAAGGATTTTAACAGTAAAAAAAAAAAAAGTTGGCCAAGCCCACTCAGTCATATTACCCACCACCACCACCACGCCATGCCCACAGAACTGGTAGTAACAAATTTTACATTTCACCACTGATATATATACATCAAAAATGACGAAAAAGTATGAAAAACGTGATATTCCATTTGTTTCTAGCATTTGTTTGCAATGTAATATTTTTTTATTCATTGATATGATAACCACTTGTAATGCTAAAGAGGTATTTGCTGTAACCCATCATAGTAAACAATAAACATAATTTTATTTTTAAATACAAATTATCACAATCAAATCAAATTACTCTTCCTCCCTCCATAAATATTCCTAATTCCGTATCAACTTTATTCTGAAGATATTATTATTATTATTATTATTATTATTATTATTATTATTATTATTATTATTATTATTATTATTATTATTATTATTATTATTATTTATTTCTATGCCGCCCACTCTCCGAGGACTCTGGGCGGCTTACACCAAAGACAGTATACTAAATAGCATATTGCCCCCAACAATCTGGGTCCTCAGATAATGGATACGAGAGTCAAAGATTCATTTTAAAAAATACTTTTTACATTCTTTGATGGTAGCAGAACAACAACAAGATTTGTTGTGTCATTTTCTTAGATCCAAAATGACATCCACATTGATAGTCACCGACTAGCCAGGGGTGATGAACTATGGCCCCTTTATGACTTGTGGACTTCCAACTCCCCAAATTCCTGAGTTAGCCATTGTATTTCTATTTAATGCACACACAAAAACTGGATTTTGATCACTTGGTCATATCTGCCATTCTGAAGCCATTGATTAGCTATAAGGAAGCTCTAAATTTAACATTCACCTTTTGGATTATAAATTTTTCTCTCGAGTTTTAATGACGCTTTGCGTTTGAGACAAGGTGATTGGACTGCTAAAAATGGAGGGAGAAAACCCAATCTATATTACTTGCTAAAGGCAGTTTCAAAGCAAAGTTTGAAGCATTCCCTTCTCCAAAATCTGCTGCCATCTCCCAAATTCACAGCAGATTTGAAGGGCTAAATTTATTTTCTCCACTGCAGGATAATTTTAATGAGAAATTTCCTATAAAATACCTGATGCAGGTTGTCTGAAAACATGATAATGAACACATTTGTAATTCTGTTTAGGGTTCACTTGTCTTTCTTAGATGAGCACCTAATTTTGCACTTCTACAAAGAAGTAGCAGCCAATATGTACATTATTTCCTAAATAGAAATGTACAAATAGTATTTGTTCAATTTGTTTTATTTTCCTGCTACCAATAGTATTATATTTATATACAGCTATATTAAAAATTATTTCATTAAATATCCATATTTAATAGGGCAGTGATGGTGAACCTCTTCGGCACTGAGTGCCCAAACCAAACGTACATGCGTGCTGGAGTGCTGGAAACCCAAAGACCAGCTGGCCGGTGCACATGTACGTGCCGGCCACCTGGTCTTTGGGTTTCCGGCACGCGCATGCACGCCGGCCAGCTGGTCTTCACACGCCAGAGTGCTGGAAACCCGAAGACCAGATGGCTGGCGTGCGTGCCCACAGAGAGGGCTCTGGTGACACCTCTGGCATGTGTGCCATAGGTTCACCATCACAGATAGAGGGTCAAGGGTATCTTTTGGCTTTTTCTATTTTTTCCCACCAAAAAAAGAGCTCTGAAGGCTGCTTCTTCATTGCTCTTTATAATCATGTGGGTCTGAATCTCTCTTTAAATAAATCGGTATAAGACTACTAAAGCCTACTATTGTTTCAGGTACTGATCCTGATAGATTCCCTACACTGCCTTTAGTCCTTGTTGCACTTGGAACCATAGTAATAATTGTGCTTTTGATCTTGATTTGTAACAGGTAAATTTTAATTATTTTTAACATCTCTTTGTCCTAGCAGTTGATAAATTTAGTTCTTAAAAAAATTCAAGTGCTAATTAGCACTTTTTAAGCATAACATTCAACTAGACAAGAGGCAAATATTGAGAAAGGTATAAAGAATAGATGTTTTTACCTATGCAAACTTTACTAAGTTTGTATCTTTCTGTAATAAAGACAACTTGTTTATATAATATAATGATAAAAATAGGTTGAATACAAGCATTGTCATACAATTATTAGGTTAAATTTACTTCTAAGAAGAGCAGAACAAAACCAATAAGTATCTTTAAAAAATGGCAAGGTACATTTTGCTGATTGCTATGGATATAACTCTAACAAAAACCTATCTTCTGCTTTAGGCCTGTTTTTGTAACAGATATTTAATCTTTGTCTTTTTATTTATTTTTATTTCATTGATTTCTCTCTACTTTTTCTTCTCATCTTGTTCCTTTTTTTCGTCTTGGCTGTTGTCCTCAGATACCTTTTTTAAATTAATATACTGCCTCTTTTTTGTTTTTTTTCCTTTGGTGCAATTGGGTTAATAAAGGTTCAAAAGAATGCTTTTTGTACTTTATGGGGCAGAATCTATCTAAACCCTATGCTTATTTCTGCATCTAGTTTTGTAAAAGATGGCTCGATGTACTTACTGGTTTTTCTTGAGTTTTTTGTTCTGCTCTCAGACCCTGTAGGATTAATAGAATTAAATACACAGAATTACTAGTCTTATATTTTAAAAGTATGTTGTGTCAATGGTGTTGCACATTTTCAGGCACCTATAACAAGTTATTTCAAGAAAAGAATCTGGAATAATGCTCCAAATTTTTCTTTGTACAGGAACCACATATGGGAAAAACTTACTGATCCAGTTCCCGGACCAAAAGTTATGTGGCAACATGAGAAGAATGAGGAGGTGGGTTCGAAATATGCTAAATAATCTATAAAGTATTTTATGTATACATGAATAACTCTTTCATACCTACTTTATAATTTTAATGCTGCTTAATAATTGGTTCTGTCATTCTTTTATTTGTGTCAATCTAAATTAAGAATAGGCATGTACTTTTAGCTATGAACTTTTAGCAGACTCAGGACCAAATCTAAGGACCAAAATCTAAGAAGAATGACCTTTTCCATTATGAATCTAGCTTAACAGAAAAGTTAGTTTCTGTTTAGTTTCAGATATATTAGTTCCAGAAACTCAGTTATCTAGTACACAGGAGAGGAGTTTTCCTGTATAGCCCAAAGCCATGGAATTCCTCTCCCTAAGAGGAGTGTTTTGTCCTCAATCTCCCAGGTTTTTGGCAAATGACAAAAACTTCAAAGGGGGGGGCACAGATACAACATCTGTACTATGAGATACGTTGTGTAGCAGTGACTAACCAAATTATGTTTTCATGGCGATGGTGGACTAGAACCTGAGCCTCCACTGTGCCAATCCAAAGCTTCACCACCACTTCACCATCTTGGTTCTCTGTTGAAAGACTAATTTATATGCAGTGAAAAATAAGGGTTTTGTTATGTGTATTTGCAATGAGCTGTGATGTAGAAATGAAAATTAAACAATCATGACCGTTAGGAATTAATGCAAGGATCTTTTCTTTTCTTTTCTTAGAAGTGGGTGGCCCCAGTACCAATAGCAGGTGAATCAGTAACAGTGGTTGAAGAAATGACTGCCGACTCCCCAAAAGTATGAGGCATTGTCCACTACAATGCCCTACCCTAATAAAATAGTAGAAGAAAACCTGTGTGTGTGTGTGTGTGTGTGTGTGTGTGTGTGTGTGTGTGGCTTATTTGTTTCTTTCAAACAGTGGGATTTAAGATAACAATTTGCTATTAGAAGCTGTCAAGCAAGAGCTAAAGCAATTGATTTTTCCAAGGTGTCATATGAGAAACTGGGACTGTTGTGGAGAGCAGAATGAAGAGGGATGTGATGGGTTGCTCCCGGTTCTGTCCGGTTCTTTAGAACCGGTAGTAAAAGCGGCGGGAGGCTCCGCCCGCCCACCCACCTGGATGTCGTAACTGACAATCCGTATATGCGCAGAAGCACACGCATGTGCGCTCCCATTGCAAATGGGTAGTAAAGATAAGTAGAACCCACCCCTGATGTGAAGGTACATAAGCATGCACAGACACACATATATATAAATTGAACTTAAAAAGTCACTTTCAAAATAAAAGTCAAGGGCAGCCAAAGAGTTGGATGTAGCCCGGGAGCCATAAAATGCCGAGGTCTGGCTAGATTTATCTGTGCAAAGGGAACCAACTTGGTTTTTTTTTTTTAATTTTCCCTGTGGGTGCTTGAATGTGGGAGAATTTGCACAAATAAAATTGTTAGTATTTTGGACAGATAAATCATTAAGGGAAGGTACCATATATACTCACAGATAAGTCCATTCATGGGGTGCGGACCTGGCAGGTATTACGGAGACCTGGTTGGGCCAAGAGGGGGGGGTCCCCCTCGTAGAGATGTGCCCACCAGGTTTCCGCGCATTCCATCAGCCAAGGGCCCAGGGCAGGGGTGGGGGGGTGGCGGTCGTTATAAAGGAAGGTCTTGATCCGAGGGAGGCCACTGTACCTCAGATAGCCGGATGTGAGTCTCTCCTGGTGAAGTGGGGCCATGGGATGCAGGTGGGCCTGCTGATCGCGTACCTGGCTCCCTGCCACGTGACAGCGGCCCTGCCCGAGCTTCTCAACGTTATTGCCGGGGTGGCGGTTGATACCCCCAGACTTTTGGTCATGGGGGATTTCAACCTGCCATCTACCGGTGGGGCGTCTGGGATGGCTCGGGAGTTTATGGCTTCCATGACAGCCATGGACCTGACACAATTAATTCATGGCCCCACTCACGCGGGAGGACACACTCTGGACTTGGTTTTTATCTCTGGTCAGTGGCGGAGTGGTCTGGATATAGGGGATATAGTTATTGAACCCCTGTCATGGTCGGACCATTCTCTCCTGAGACTGGACCTTTCGACCGCTGCACCCCACTGCAGGGAGGCGGAACCGACCAGGTGGTTCCGCCCCAGGCGCCTGATGGATCCTGATAGGTTCCAGAGGGAGCTTGGGCCAGTTCCTGAAACTCTGGCACACGACTCGGCTGAAGATCTGGTGGCTGCCTGGGATAGGACAGCCGCCGGTGCTCTGGACCGAGTCGTGCCTTTGCGGCCTCTGACCCGACGCCGAACCTGCCCGGCCCCTTGGTTTTCCGAGGAGCTGAGGGAGATGAAGCGCCGGAAAAGATGCCTAGAGAGTGGTTGGAGGGCGAGTCGCTCCGAATCCGACCGAACACTAGTTAGGTCTCATATTAAGACCTATCTAGTGGCGATAAAAGCGGCAAAGCGTAACCACTTTTCCGCTCTTATTGCATCGGCAGATAACCGCCCAGCCGCCTTGTTTAGGGTGACCCGCTCCCTCCTACATCAGGGAGCACGGGAGGACCCCTTGCAAGGGCAGGCTGAGGATTTTGCACAGTATCTGCACGATAAAATCGCTCAGATTCGGGAAGGCTTGGACTCTGACTGGGTAGATCCCGGCGGGGTGACTGAGGCTGGTCTTGAGAATGTTACCTGGGATGAGTTCGACCCTGTGACTCCTGAGGACGTGGACAGGATCCTGGGGAGATTAAACGCAACCACATGTTTATTGGACCCGTGCCCCTCCTGGCTGGTACTGGCCACCCGGGAGGTAACACGAGGCTGGCTCCAGAGGATCATAAATGCTTCTCTGAGAGAGGGTTTCTTGCCTCCCGCCTTGAAAGAGGCGGTGGTGAGGCCCCTCCTCAAGAAGCCTTCTCTGGACCCGGCCGTTTTGGCAAACTATCGTCCGGTCTCCAACCTTCGCTTTGTTGCGAAGGTTGTGGAGAGTGTGGTTGCGCGCCAGCTCCCACAGTTCCTGGATGAAACCGTCTATCTAGATCCGTGCCAGTCCGGCTTCAGGCCTGGGTACAGCACGGAGACGGCATTGGTCGCATTGGTGGATGATCTCTGGAGGGCTCGGGACAGGGGTTGTTCCTCTGTTCTGGTCCTGTTAGACCTCTCAGCGGCTTTTGATACCATCGACCATGGTATCATGCTGCGCCGGCTGGAGGGACTGGGGGTGGGAGGCACCGTGTTGCGGTGGTTCTCCTCCTATCTCTCTGACCGGTCGCAGTCTGTGTTGGCAGGGGGGCAGAGGTCGACTTCGAGGCGCCTTGCTTGCGGGGTGCCGCAAGGGTCGGTCCTCTCGCCGCTCCTGTTCAACATTTATGTGAAGCCGCTGGGTGAGATCATCCGTGGTTTTGGGGTGCGATGCCATCTGTACGCTGATGACACTCAGCTGTACATTTCCACCCCAGACCACCCCAATGATGCCCTCGAAGTGATGTCCCAGTGTCTGGAGGCCGTGCGGGTCTGGATGGGGAGGAACAGGCTTCGGCTCAACCCTTCCAAGACCGAGTGGCTGTGGATGCCGGCGTCCCGGTATAGCCAGCTGGTGCCATCGCTGGCTATTGGGGGCGAGTCACTGACCCCCACAGAGGGGGCTCGCAACTTGGGCGTCCTCCTGGACACACGGCTGTCTTTAGAAGAGCATATGACGGCCGTGGCCAGGGGGGCTTTTTATCAGGTTCGCCTGATACGCCAGTTGCGCCCCTTTCTGGATCGGGACTCCTTGTGCACAGTCACTCATGCCTTGGTTACGTCACGCCTGGACTACTGTAACGCTCTCTACATGGGGCTCCCCCTGAGGAGCACCCGGAGGCTCCAGCTGGTGCAGAATGCGGCTGCGCGGGTGATTATGGGAGCGACGTGGCGCTCCCACGTAACACCTCTCCTGCGCGAGCTGCATTGGCTCCCGGTGGTCTTCCGGGTGCGCTTTAAGGTGTTGGTTCTCATCTTTAAAGCGCTCCATGGCTTAGGGCCAGGGTATTTGCGAGACCGCCTGCTGCCACCGATAACCTCCCACCGGCCAATACGCTCTCACAGAGAGGGCCTCCTCGGGGTGCCGTCGGTCAGGCAATGTCGGCTGGCGGCCCCCAGGGGGCGAGCCTTCTCTGTGGGGGCACCCGCCCTGTGGAATGAGCTGCCTCCTGGAATACGATTGATCCCGGACCTCCGGACCTTCCGTAAAGCCCTGAAGACGTTTTTATTTCATCAAGCCGGCCTAGCCTAAATGGTTTTTAATTGGGATTTTAAATTTTATGGATTTGGGGTTTTAAATTTGGGTAGCCAATGATTTAATTCTTTTAATTATCTTAACTTTTGCATTTGTATGTTTTTTAATTTTGGCTGTTCACCGCCCTGAGTCCCTTCTGGGAGAAGGGCGGTATACAAATTAAATAAATAAATAAATAAATAAAAATAAGCTCTCATTTTTTTCAACTTGTCCGTTTTCATACTTCAATAAATACAATTTGTGTACTACTCGGCTTATCCAAGGGTGGCACATTTTTCATGGTACCAGTATTTTGGTTGCTTGCTTGTGTGTGTATTTTGGTTCCTAAAATTTTCAATTTATACAACAGCATTCATGTATGTGTTTAAAATAGCAACATTATGAATAGATGTTTCACAAAAAAGGGGTTGTTTTTAAAGTGGCAATATCTCTACAGTTCTGAGTCAGAAGCTCATGCTAAGCATTTTGTGAAGGCATCCACAGCACTACCTCAAAACTCATATTTTTGTATGCTTTAACATTTTCAATGTTTTAACATTGAAAATTATGCTGAAGACAGAAAACATGTATGCTCATTTCAAGACACAGCCTTATGAATTGTAGAATGCTTGGGATGTTTGAACTTTTGATAAATGATAGTTTATCACTGTTTTCTGTTCCTTCATTTAATACTACAAGATAAATCTTGAAAACCAATAAAGAATATTTGTAGCTCAAGGTTGAAATGAGGGGTCCTAGGTATTCTCTGAGCTTAGTTGTTTTCTTGCAAACGTTTCATTACCCAAACTAGGTAACATCATCAGTGCTAGTTAGTAGTAGTAGTAGTAGTAGTAGTAACTCCTCAGTGAGGAGTTAAAGCAAAAACCTCTCTTAATAGCACTGATATTACCTAGTGAGTAAAGTCTGCAAGAAATCTTAACTCAGAGAGGACCAAAGACCCCTCACATCTTGAAATTATCATGCGAGATGTTGATCCATTTAGACATCAAAGGCTCACATAATGGGTTAACTTGTTTAAGCAATAAATTGACCTATTGAATTTATTTATATTCTAGCCTATTATTGACAATTTATTTAAAAATGTGTTATTTAATACTGATACTATTGCAACTTTCAAGCTCCACGTGAAATATTTGAAAGATCAGTTGAGACTCCAAAACCATGACTATCAGAGCTTCCTGCTACCATCACAATCCCAAACGAACACATAATTAGGTAAATAATTTTATTGCAGAAAATTAGGAAGATACAACCCAGGTCTGTTTCTATATGCATGTGTGATAGACTGACAATCTGGGATTCCTCCTGCACCCTTTTCAAATTAACATTTTTGGCTGCTCTTTTCTTGGTTTTATTGAACTTTTCAGAGCCCCTTGACTACACTTTTATATGATGGAGTTGATGAACTAGATATATTTAATAACTTTTGAGATGAAGTTATATATCTTGTTTTTGTAAATCAACAAAGACCAGTTTAAGATATGACTTTTTACTTTTCAATAGCAAAAAAAGTACTTAATATTTAAAATATTTAGTAAAAATCAGCTGCCAATTTGCCTTGTTAATGGAGATACATTTCAATATATTGCCCA